GAGCTCTCAAGAGGAAAAGTCGCGTAATGTAGATCTAGTCAGAATTAGTTTTGCTCATATCTCATTATTCATGTAGCTACATTTATTTTCTGTTTAACTGATCAGTAGTGCTGCATTTAGACTGTAGCGCCCAAATTTCTGGTAAGTATATAATTAACGCAGAAATGCCTACTAAAGCAACGGATGACGCCATGTTCAATCTAAAATTGGTCTTCTAAGAAGAAGAACGAGCCATAGCAAATTAACTAAACTCTTTATGATACCTCTCAAGCGCATAGTACTTTTCTCATACGCATCCATCAAATACATATGTAAACACAGTCCATCATAAAATGCAATCAGAATAGTGAACGGGATATGCACAATTATTTTTTTTACTAGAATTTTTCAATATCCCAGGAAAGCTTGGGTTGGACGTGATCTACTATGTCCATTTCTTTGGCAACTCATTGGATGTTTTAGCAAAAAATCGCGCCACTTCACGCAAGTTTCTGTTTGAATTATGGATTGTTCTTTGAAAAACGCATCTCCTCATGCCTCATAGGTGCCAATGGCGCTTTTTATAAGAGATTCGCGAGTTAGCATAGCAAAGCGCTTCACTTTGAGGTAGGAAGAGATGAATACGTTGGTACGAAATAAAAGCACGGAGGATGTAGGAAGGTGAGCCAGGCATATCTTGTTCTGTGCTCACATAATAGAATTTCCTATTCGTTTAGAGTGCTTCCTTGACACCACGCTCAAATTTCAACATATCTATAATTGTTATTTGAGTCAACATGTCATGTGGCCTGTTATAGGGCTGACTTATAGAGCCCGATAAACGGGTTTCCTCCTTGCCAGTCGAATCAGTCGGGCGGTACCCTTCGTCTTTTGTCAGTTCTCCCGGGGCACTCAGTCTCCTATACTAAGAGTAGGCGACTACGAACATTTTACACCGTCCATCAAGTGAAATTATTACTGAATGGACGGTGTTGTGCACTCGATTGCTCTTGGCTAGTATCGTCAATATATTGAAATTGCGGTTTTAAATTTGATTTTAGTCTTGAGAAAACACTCGAAACGGAAGGTATGATATCTCTTAAATTCCTAGAGCAAGCGACTGTACAACACTGCCAACCAAAAGATTTCTTTCACTTGACGGCACGTGCAAATAGTGCGCCTGCGCATTCTTTATGTAAGGAAATGGAGACCCAAAAGAGGATTAAATAAGACAAAGGGCACTTCTCAAATGATGAGGCTGCCAAGGCCGAAACACGTCTATTCTGCTTTATAAGTTGCCCATAACAGATCGCATGTATAGCTTAAAAAATAATTACCAGATAATTGAATTCCTTCATATTTGAACGCTTTTATTAGCGGAATGGCGTTTCAAATACATATCCTGCAATGTCGAGAGAAGTGTCAATCACTGAATCTCACAAGAGAAGTAGATCCACGTACCACCGTTTACAGGAGGCGCGTGTTAACCAATGGTATTATCGAAGATCTGTTCTGCTGTCATTCATTCTGTTTTTAAAATCCTTTATGTTAGCATAAATTATTTAGGCTTAGTGTGTCTCTCTTCAGCTTTGCAGCATTCTGCATTGTCTTATAGCTCCAAGGTCTATCACGCCAAAATCCAATGATCTGCTAGGCGTTTGTCCATCATAAATGTACTTACTAGGTAGAGTAAACTTCACTTCGTTCTTCGCTCCCTTAAACACAGTTACAAATGCGGAATTCCATTTGACAACTGATTATCTTACCTCTTTTTCGTCTTCGCAGTAATGATAAATAATCATATAGGGATCAATTTCTGTGTATTCATCTGTTGATCCTGTGAGGTAGAAGTGCCCAGTCAAATTAGAGCGGCCTTTGCCAAGTAGGTCGTCAGAATCAAAGAATCCTAAAATAATAGCATTTGTCAAACGGAAAATCAAAATATGCTCTTCAAAATGCAGTTTGTGACTGTGCCTCCTGAAATTCAAAATCATGCTGGACATCAGTTTGCAAAAAATTCTCGTCTAAAAAAAGCGAGGTTACCGAAACGTTGGTAAGACAAGATGTTCATGAGATTCTCGACAAACACAACAAAGAGTCGGCTAACCAGTACCGGATCTACAACGGTGTGCCACTTATTTGGCAAGAACACGGGTCCCAACATATCACTATCAGCTGCGCTTATAAAATTGTTGTGCGCAAAGTTACTAAGTTCAAATGCTCATCGTGCCTCGCAGTTAACGACGCTTTCTTCGTAAATTGAGAGAAGAAGTGCTGTTAACAGTCCCATTATTTGCTTACTTGCTCGCCCTAATTCATCATTGAAGTACTATCAATATTTCCTTCTACACAACAGCTCCCGTTGAACATTTGTAATGGTCTCTCAAAGGAAGCTCCCTTTTGAACTCCATTTTCTGGAGTACTTGAATGTCCAAGTTTAGATCAAGTATTATAGAAACCTGAAACAACTGCTTTAGCGACGTAACTTTCTTTTGGAGCTGCTGAATATTTGTGGGAAGAAAAATTAGATTCTTTCTTAGTGCAATGGAACAAATGACAAACCGATCGCATTCGTTGAAGAAAAGGTTTTCATAGAAGTGATAGTAACCCTTGGAAAGCTGAGACTTCAGACTACAGCTCCACGCCATCGATTTTCATAAGCCTTTTCTTGACGTTGCTACAGGAGGAGATTTTTTGCATCGCAGATTTGCATATTTCTCATCGGATAAAGCTCTATCTTTGAACTATCAGTAACCATTCGATAGCGTAATTGTTTCTGATATCAGCGCTATACTTATTTTCTGTAAAGACCGTTCTCTACAGTGGGAAAATAAGATTGATCCAGATACACGGATGGGTGTCTTTTTCTCATTCCATGGAGTGGTGATAAGCGAGTCGAGAAAGAATGTAGCCACTTTCACATGACCATCGATCGACTCGCGCTTTGACTGGTGGCACATCGCCCTGCTGCACTGCACCGAAACGTTCTTTCAAGAAAATAAACACAGCGTGAAAATCTGTGAACATTACGCTATTGAATGATTACCAATGGTCCAAAAAAGAGCTCTGTTCGGCGAGGTTCAAGGAGCAGGTCTTTTCTTCCTCCTGAAACGTTGCCCAAAGAGTTTTTCCAAAAATCAAGCATATTTTTGAGTTCTTCGAAAATTGTGGTATCATGAGCACTTGCACCTTAGGAAGGAGTTTTGTCCAGCGAAATATAAGCGAAATAAGGCAAAAAACGTAGTTATGTGAAACATGTTTTATTTTGAATTTTACAGCGTTATAGAATGGTGTTTTGAAAACCGGCCGCATGGGGCTCTAGCCAAAAATTTAAGCTCCTGAATGATCGCTACTCCTATAAAAACTCCTCCTTCAGTGATAGAGACCGGTTTTTCATTTGCTTCCTTATAATCAACAAGACGAAATTTTTTATCTTGCCATATGTTCTAGTAGCCTATCACCTCGGCCATTACATCGTAGACTACGGCCAAGTAAGTCAAACCAAATTTCAAAAGCTAAGAAAACGAATGCGCTGCAATGACTACCCAGAAACCACATTATGAGATACTGAGACGGTGAACAACAGGTGGACGCACATACCGACGTCTTCGTCCCATAGTTCTACCTCCGAATGTGATACCGGCTTTTCTCCACAGGTAATTCGTCCCTTGACGGCTATGGATTGTAGGCGAGAAGCAACACCGATCAAAAAAATGGAAACAATTAAGAAGAGGCGAATCATCGCTCAATCTAAAAAATGAAGATATAGATGTGACTACTGAGAAGACGATTCATGAATTCTAGATTTGAGTTGAATGCAAATTTTTCAACTTATGATGGCTGTTAATCAGGTGATTCACAGTGATGCGAGATGAATTGTAACGCACGCGTGGTCGCGCGATTGTTAGCTCTTCAGGCTCGCCAGGTTCGCTACGGCACTGATTTAGTACATCGGCTGACTATTGTGATTTGATAAAGAGACCAGATAGTGAGTTAATTTGGGCAGTATGTGTTGATATGAAATCATTCAACACAGTAAATTTTATTGAGAGACAGGCAAGCCAGAGGTTGTTAGTGCATGAATAACTCAAGGCAAGATGACAATAATTTTGTGGAAAAGGCTAACCACAATTTCAAAAATTTGCTGACGTTCAGTGCTCTTGTGTATCAGCAGACTCGTGGTTGATTTCACAACGTACCCTGCCAAGAAAAATAAACGGTCAGTAAAATTGGAACTCCCAGGACAACAAAGGTCTAAAGCCGTAAGGTTGCTAAAATGTGGGCGAAACAGAGCCTCAATGGGCTATAAAATCCGGTACCACCTCATCCAAATTTATTGTGCTTCAAAGGGCGCTAGTAGCGTGAGAATCTCGATGTTGGTAAATCGAGTGTTCTTGATCGCGCGAAGAGACACGATGATTACATTCAAGTTCATAATTTGGAAAAAAAATCTGTGTTAGATGGGTTATGTGTGGGAATTCATTCAGTGCATATGAGTGCACCTTTTAAATGCTGGAAAAACACTGAACAAGAATTCTGAAAAGTCATACAGCACACTTTTCATCTTCAAAACATTAGTCATGTGCTTTCACAAAATAATACACCCCCTTATGAAAAAGTTCACGGCCTGGATAGCGTCATTAGAAGTAAGCACGTCACCGACGGAAACTGTTATTTCTGTCTATGAATCAGCACCTATCCGAGAATGAATTCCATTCTGATGATGAGGCCTAGCCTCTAGCAGCGTGTTCTCTTGTGAAGTTGCAGACGATATCAAGATAATCATCCTCAGCTGCCAAATCAACTTCATGAAACTTTTTTGTGTTTTTCTGCACTCTTCTGGTGAAACTTCTCAAGAATGGTTACTTGTGCTGCCAATGACTTTTTCAATTAACTGAATGGCCAGCGGAATATGAAAAACAGAGAATCAGTAGCGCTCAGGCGCAGATCAGATATTCCCCAGGTAGATGTTGATTCATGAATCACGTATTCCCTAAAGACTGAGTGGCGAGCAAAAACAAGGGCTCAGGCGGGAATCGAGCCCGCGTTTTATCCTAGTCGGAGGCGCGTGCTATACCATTACACCACCGAGGCACATTGTTTCCACCGCTCATTCTTCAACATCTCTATGTTATCTATCAGCCACCAACCTTTGACAGACTGGTCGGGTATCCGATTTCGCTCTACTAACCCAGTTGGGCTGACAGCCATTCTGATAACTAATATTCGAAATTTCTGAAAAAACCCGACCAAACCTGTTAAAGGTTGATGGCTGATGGCTAACATACACATGTTAAAGAATGAGTGGTGGCACCAATGTGTCTCGGTGGTATAGTGGTAGAGCACGCGTCTCCGACTAGGATGAAACGCGGGCTCGATTCCCGCCTGAGCCCGTGTTTTTGCTCGCCACTCAGTCTCTGAGGAATATGTGATTCATGAATCAACATCTACCTGGGGAATATCCGATCTGCGCCTACGCGCTACTGATTCTCATATTTCGCTGGCCATTCAGTCAATTGAAAAAGTCATTGGCAGCACAAGTAACCGTTCTTGAGAAGTTCCCCAGAAGAGTGCAGGAAAGCACAAAAAAGTTTCATGAAGTTGATTTGGCAGCTGAGGATGATTATCTTGCTATCGTCTGCAACTTTATAAGAGAAGACGGTGCAAGAGGCTATGCCTCATCATCAGATTAGAATTTTTTCTCAGATAGGTGCTGATTCATAGACAGAAATAACAGTTTCCGTCGGTGACGTGCTTACTTCTAATGACGCTATCCAGAAAGTGAACCTTTTTATGAGGGGTGAACAGTTTATGAAAGTACATGACTAATGTTTTTGGAGATGAAATAGTGACTAACCTTCCAGAATTATTGTTCAAAATTCTTTTCAGCATTTAAAAGCTGCGAGTAAATCCTGTGAACTGATTGCTAAACACTCCTTGTAGCACATATTTTGATTTTTTTTTCTAAAATTATGAACTTTAACTCTACTCTCAGCCACTTACACAGAATTCTTTCAAAAATCATTATCTATGAGCCTGTTTCGAGGTCTGAGGTGGGCATCTGTACAGTGCTAAACAGGCGCCTGCTTCGTCCTTCCGGACTCCTCAGTAGCACTGTCTCCCTCGGTTAATCGATTTCTTCGAGATATTCCCCTATATAAAGGAATCGACTTCGAATAATAGATCACCGCAAGTCAGTTAACAAAATCTCCCCACATCGAGCTGACCACAGTCGAGTGCTTGCGGCTAGCAGAATGAATGACGCCTTACTCTCAACCGATTATTTAGAATACGATTGACTAAACCAAAGGCGACTATGCTATTGAGAAATCCGAAAAGACGAAAGCCTGTCTAACAATATGTAAGTGCCAATATCAAGCCTCAAAGCATGCTCAAACGTCTTATCAAGTTATTTTTTGTTAACTTTGAAGCAATCATCGTGTCGCTCTTCGCGGTTGAGTATAATAAGTGGACCACCATCGGAATTCGTAAGGTACTAGCTCTCTCTGAAGTCTAAGGATGAATGAGTTAGTCATGGGCATTGGAGCTCATCTGCGGCTCTGGGTGACTCACATCTTAGCAACCTAATGGCTTAAAACCATTGTTGTCCTGGAAGTACTAGGTTTTATTGACCGTTTGTTTTTTGGCAAGGTACGTTGTGAATTTAAGCACGAGCCTGCTGATACACAAAAAGCACTAAACCTCAGAATAAATCTGAAATTGTGATTGCCCTTTTTCAGAGGCTCTTGAGTTAACCATACACTGCCAATCTTTGATTGCCTGTCTCTCCTTAGAATTTGCTGGGTTTAATTATTGCATGTCGGCACGTGCTGCGCACACTAACCCCATATCTGGCCTTTTTAATTAATCGCAGTGGACACCGATGTACCAAGTCGATGCCGTAGCGAACCTGGCGAACCTGCAAAGCTAACAATCACGCGGTCACGTGTATGTCACGAAGCATCACCGTTACACTCTTGCACTAAAGAAATCCATCATACGTTGAGAAATTCTATTTCAAACTTAAGCCTATAGAACATGCGTCGTCTCCTAAGTAGTTACTTTTGTATCCTCGTTGTTTAGATTGAGTGATGGTTCGCCTCTTCGTAATCGTTTCCATTCTTTTAACTGGTGTTGCTTGTCGCATACAGTCTATAGCCGTCAAGGGACGAATTACTTGTGGGAAAAAGCCGGCAGCATGTTTGTCGATAGGACTCTGGGACGAGGACGTTAGCGGTATTTTTGGTAAGCTATCTCTTCTCTACCGTCTCAATATCTCTTATTGTGATTTCTATGTATTCTAGCAGCGCGTTCACTGTTTTTTAGATTTTAGAATTTGTTTTGACTGACTTGACCGTAGCCGACCCTGTAATCGGCGAGAAGATACGTCCTTTCAAGATATAGCAAGATCAAAAATTTTTTTCTAATAAGTATTCAGCAAATTAAAAAAAGTTACGTCACGGATAAATTTGTTCTAAGTTACTAAAACACAGTTTGAAAGTGACATTTTGAGGACACCGAAAAAACTAAGTTCAGAAGGAAACTGCTTGTGAGAGACCTTCACAGATGTTCAACGGGAGATGTCTTTTGATCGTACCGCACATGCTCTTTTCATATCAGACTGACAAAAAAAAAGTCAGTTATATCTTAGCGCTAGCAGGCAAGGTCAATAGTGCGCCGGTGCAGCTTATTGTTGTCGACATAGGACTGATGACATCAATTCTCTCAATTTTCGAATTTTTCGTCACTAACTACAAGGCACGATGAGCATTAGAACCTAGTAACTTTGCGCACAGGGACTTTGGAAAAGCGCAGTTGATGTTGATATTGTTGGGACTCGTTTTTTTGTCAAATAAGTCACACACCGTTATAGATCCGATGCTGGTTGTGTGACTTATTGCTTTGCTTTTGAAGAACCTCATGAGCATCTTGTTTTACCAGCTTTCATTAGCGTCGTTTTCTCCATACATGAATGGTTCTAAACTAATACTCAGCATGACCTTTGATTTCAAGATGCGCTGATTCGATGGGTCAAGAATTTTTTCTAAACCATCATCTTTCTAAAAATTATACAAACATGCTACATATCTTTGACTGCAATGGTTTACGTTTTGGAGAGTACGTTTATGTTGAAAGCTAAATATGCTTCACTATATCAGATCATACTGAGGCTCTGCGTGAAAAGTTTTCCAAATAGTTCAACTCGATGGTTTTTCACTTTGCTAAAAATCCATTCCAGCAATCATTCTAAATATCTATGAAATAATATTTCAATCTAAATATCTGTGAAGGAATTTTACAGTTTCGCTTCCATCATAAATAATGGCTTTTAATGTGCTGTGACACACTATGGAAGCTATGAGAAATGAGCCCTATTACGTTTAGAGTATAGGTGTGAGACAAAGTGCCACTTTATTCATACCATCCAAGCATACTGCTTTAAATCTTTTCTGGACTACCAGAATTTAAGTTGAATTTTGCATAGTTCTTCTAATTAACGTTTTAGACTCGTTATCCACAATGTCACTATTACCTCAAAGTCATCGTCGTTGTTCATTTTTGTGCTATCATCCAAATATCCTTTTTTTGCACACAATACACATACACAGTGCCTATCGGTCCTGCCAATGCAGTCATCATCAAAGTCTTGCAAGAGATCAATTATGTGTTCAACCTATACTCATACAGTCTCTGCCTTTACCGTTCGAATAAGTCACGCAATTTTCGATCAGTGAATTTTTGTTAACAGATTAATTTTGATTTGGTTTCCAATTTTCCTTTATTGAAAAAATGGTAACTAATTAATTAGATATGGCACATTATAATATAACCAATTTCCGAGGTGCGTAAAGTCGCGAATCATTAGTCATCGTTTTTTTGAAAGACACTATCCTTCTATGAGCTTCTGAAGAAAAACAGTTTATAGGATGCGTTATTGATAAGAACTCCTCGTCTGCTTATATATCCGACTAAGCATTTTCTTATTTTATCACACTTCTTCACGTTATTTCTTTACACTTTTACAATTACAGTCGTTGGGAACGACGGATTAGGAATGCTCTTCTGGATTATTCTATACAGATAAATGAGCTGAATACAGCTTACCTGGAAAATTTAGGAATAAAACTTCTGACGTTGATCAGTTTCCGAAAAATCAACCATATATTTTACTCTATTACATATCATACAGGGAGTAAATCCTCAGTTGGCCTAAAGGTACACTTTTGGTGATTAGATAATTATCAATGTAGCATATCTACCCAAATGTCCATGGGCTGGTATTCTGTACAGCACTGAACGAGATCTGTGCTATACAGTGTGGTGGTAGTGCGATAACATACCTTGACTTTTGCATAAGGTTTGTTATGACACTTATACAGTACTATACACGATTTTCCAACTTTCAGCCTCATCAGTAGTACGGTGGTTTTTGGTTTAGTAGATCCCTTGCAGGGGATATAGCCTTACAAATGAAGGAAACGACGAATTATTTTGAATCACCGCATGTTTTGGAGATAAAATCCTCCAACATCGCACTGATCAGCAGTCGACCACTCATGTGTAAATTAAAATGAATAATATCTTCAAATTCGACTGTCTTTATAGACCTCACTCAAAACAGGCTCATGATATGGATATCAGATTATATATTGTTTTAAGCGAAGTGCATAGAATAATCCAATGTGTATCGCATGGTACCTCTAACTACTGGGCTACACACCCCCTTCGATGATTTATCTAAGCTAATCATAATTGAGTAAAAACTCGAAAGTATTGCGCCATGTTTTCGCTTGCTTCATTACTATGCTTGTAATAGATCATATTTCTCCACAGAACTTTCTAGAGCGCTTGACCATTCCTTCTTATGAAAACACTTTCACAAATCTTTATCTAAAAGTCTAAAGGAAACTTCATCTTATAGACGGAATATCCGCGTCTTGTCTAATTGACAGATGTCGTGGTTTTGTGCAATCGAATTTTTACTAATAAATTGGGTTATACTGGGCAAAAACAACGGTAAGTTAAAAGTAATACGAGAATAGTTCTGATTTTACTGTATGACAGATGTCATTATTCTAGACTTCGCCGATTCT